ACAAAATTTAAACAAGTTATAAATAGTATGTGTAATAATATGTAAAGTGAAATATTATATGGAGGTTGGCCATTAATCTAGTGGTTAACACAAATGGCTGGAAATACTGTATAGAACTTTGGGTGAAAACTTTTGGATTTGAAAAGTTAACCCTGTTTATCTCTCCACAGATGCTGAGCATTTACAGTTTTATCCATTTTTATTAATTTGCTTCACCCTAGGGCTATGATTTTGTTTTGGATTGCAATTGTTGATTGATCGTACTCTATTGATTGTGTCATGCAAATCACTGACCCACCTCATCTATATTGTACCAACTACTGGCTTAAAAGAGAATACCATTTGCAATGATAATGGACGACTCCGTCAGTCAGCCCACTCTGTAATTAGTCTGTTCTTAAAGAACACAGTGCTGAGTGGCGTTGGTGATTGATAAACAGTTTGAAGATGACGTCTAAGTTATCTTTAAAATCTACTGCAGTTGATGTAGAGTCGTAGAGTCATAGCAGTCGATAACTTGAAAATACGCCCTTCGGCCCAGCTTGACCATTAGCCCTACTTTCACAATTTAAACTTGTCCCATTTGCCTGTGTTTGGTCCATATCCCTCCAAACCTACATCATCCATGTACCTATCTTAATGTTTCTTAAATAACAAAATTGTTCTTGCTTCCACCACTACCTCTGACAGCCCCTTTCAGACACTCACCACCCTCTGTGTGAAAAAATTGCCCCTCTGGACCCTTTTGTATCTCTCCCCTCTCACCTTAAACCTATGCCCTCTAGTTTTAGACTCCCACACCATGGGGAAAAGCTGTCGGCTATCTACATTATCTACGCCTCTCATGATTTTATAGACCTCTATAAGGTCATCCCTCAGTCTCCTATGCTCCAGGGAAAAAAGTCCCAGCCTATCCAACCTTTCCTTATGACTCAAACTTTCCAGTCCAGGTAGCATCCCAGTGAATCTTTTCTACAGTCTTTCTAGTTTAATAATATCCTTTCTATAGTAGGGCGACCAGAACTGCATGCAGTACTCCAAATATAGCCTCACCAACATCTTGTACAGCCGCATCAAGACGTCCCAACTCCTGTACTCAATGCTCTGACTGATGAAAGCTAGCATGCTGAAAGCCTTCTTCACCACCCTGTCCATCTGTGACTCCATTTTCAAGGAGCTATGAACCTGTACCCCAAGATCTCTTTGTTCTATTACACTCCCCAGGACCCTACCACTGACTAAGTCCCACCCTCGTTTGCCATACCAAAATGCAACACCTTGCATTTATCTAAATTAAACTTCATCTGCCATTCCTCAGCTCTCTGGCCCAGCTGATCAAGATCTCACTGCATTCCCAAAGAATCTTCTTCACTGTCCACTATATCACCACTCTTGGTGTCACCAACCATACCTCCTAAATTCTCATCCAAATCATTTGTATAAATGACAAATAACAGTGGTGCCAGCATACCGCTGGTCACAGGCCTCCAGTCTGAAAAACAAACCCTCTTCTACTACCACCATGTCTCTTCTACCATCAAGCCAATTTTGTATCCAATTAGTTAGCTCTCCCTGAGTCCCAAGAGATTCTTACTTACTTGACAACCTACCATATGGTACTTTGTCAAAGGATTTGCTAAAGTCCATGTAGACAATGTCTATCACTGTAGACACTGTCCTCATCTACAATGTAGACACTGTCCTCACCTACTTTCTTCATCACCACTTCAAAAAACTCAATCAAATTTGTGAGACAAAGCTATGCTGATGATCCTAAATGAGTCCTTGCCTCTCCAAATGCCTATAGTTCCTGTCTCTCTGAATCCCCGCTAACAAGTTACCCACCATGGACATTAGACTCACTGGTGTGTAGTTCACAGCAACTTCCCAGCAGCCTTTCTTAATTAATGGCACAATATTAGTCACCTTCCAATCTTTGAGTGCTTCAAATGTGGCTGTTGATGATACAAATATATCCACTAAAGGCCCCAGAATTTTCTCTCCAGCCTTCCCCAAAGACCTGGGATACACTTCATCAGGTCCTAGGGATTTGTTTACCTTAATGCGTTTTAAGACTTCCAGCACGTCCTTTTCTGTAATGTGGACACTCTTCAAGACATCACTATTTATTTCCTCAAATTCCCTAGCATCCATACCTTTCTCGACAGTAAATATTGAAGAAAAATATTCATTAGGATCGCACCCATTTCTTACGGCTCCACACATTATTGACCTTGTTGACCTTTAAGAGGCCCTATTCTCTCCCTCGTTACTCTTTTGACCTTCGCGTACTTGTAGAATCTCTTTGGATTCTCCTTTACCTTATCTGCCAATGCCAGCTTGTGTCCCCTTTTAGCCCTCCTGATTTCTCTCTGATGTTTACTCAGACACCCTCTATATGCTCCCTTTTTGCTGCTGTAACTCTGTTGTGGGATGATTGTAGCCTGCATACATGCTTAAGTGTGGTTTTCACTTCCAGCAGTCAGAACAACGGTGTGAAATTCCTGGGTAATTCCAGCTTGTGGCATCCTCTGTGCTGCCTATATTCATAGTGCCAGGCCATTTCTTTGTTGGTTTTATAAAAGAATAATTGCTACCATTATTCACAGGCTCTGTGCTCATCACTAAGCAACTGTCTGATTAAATGTGTTGCTTAATTTCATGTGTAGGCTTTTTACACGCATGCAAGGAGCAAGAAAAAAAGAAAAGGTCCCCTCAGGACAAAGGAGGGAATTTATGCATGGAGCCAGAGGAGTGGGTGAGGTCCTTGCATCAGAATTCACAAAGGAGAAGGACATTTTGAATGATAAGTCTAAAGAGAGGTTTGTTAATATTTTAGGGCAGGTCTATATATAAGTGGTGTTGGGTGTTTTGAAAAGCATGAAGATAGAAAAGTCCCCAAGATCTGATGGGATCGATCCCAGGATACTGAGAGAGAGCAAGGGAGGAAATTGCTGGGGCCTTCTACAAAACCTTTGCATCCTCTTTAGTCACAGACGAGTTCCCAGAAGACTGGAGAATAGTCAATGTTGTTCCTTTGTTTAAGAGGGGCAACAGGGATAATATAGAGAATTACAGGCTGGTGAGCCTTACATCAGTGGTAGGGAAATTATTGGAGGACGTTCTTAGGGATAGGATTTACTCAGTTGGAAAAATATGGACTTATTAGTGATAGGCAGCATAGCTTTGTGCGGGGGAAGTTGTGTCTCACAAACTTGATTAAGTTTTTTTTAAAAGTAAGTAACAAAGATATTTGATGAGGTTAGAGCAGTAGATGCTGCCCACATGGGCTTTAGCTAGGCCTTTGATAAGGTCCCTCATGGCAGGCTGATACAGCAGGTGAAGTCACATGGGATCTGCAGTGAGCTGGTAAGGTGGATACAGAACTGCCTAGTCACAGAAAACAGAATAACAGTGGAAGAGTGTTTTTCAGACTGGAGCTATGTCACCAGTGGTGTTCCATTGGGATCACAGCTGTGACCTCTTTTGCTTGTAATATATATATAAATGATTTGGAAGAGAACGTAAGTAGCCTTATTAGTAAGTTTATGCATGACCCAAAGGTTAGTGGAGCTACGGACAGTGAGGAGGATTGCCAGAAGATATAGATAGGCTGGAGACTTGGATGGAGAAACGGCAAATGGAATTTAATCTGGACAAATGCGGGGTGATGCGTCTAACACAGGAGGGAAGTATACAGTAAATAGCAGAACCTTTCGAAGTATTAACATTGATGACCTAGACATTCGGGTCAACAGTTCTCTGAAAGTAGCAACACAGGTGGATAAGGTGGTCAAGGCGACATATGGCATGCTTGCTTTATGGCATGCTTGCTTTCATCAGTTAGAACAAGCACTATACAAATTGGCAATATTGTGTACAGCTCTGACTGCCACATTACTAGGAGGATGTGAAAGCTTTGGAGAGGGTACAGAAAAAGTTTACCAGGATGCTGCCTGGTTTGGAGGCTATTAGCTATGAGGAGAGGTTGGACAAACTTTGTTTTCACTTGAATGTCACAGGCTGAGAGGTGACTTGATAGAGGTTTACAAAATTATGACAGGCATGGATGGAGTGGATGGATAGCTCCCTGGGTAGAAATATCAATTATGAGAGAACATCGGTAGAAGAGGACAGATTAAAAGGAGATGTGAGTGGCAAAAGTTTTTTTTTAAACACAGAGTGGTAAGTGTCCTTAATGTGCTGCCAGAGGTGGTAATGGAGGTGAATACAATAGCTATGTTTAAGAGGCATCTTGATAGATGCATGGATAGAGAATAGAGGGATATGGACCACGTAGAGGCAAAAAGGTTTTTAGTTTAGAAAGGCATCATGTTGTGGTGCAGGCTGGGTGGGATGAAGGGCCTGTTCCTGTGCTGTACTGTTCTAGGATATAATTACTTTTGGCCAAGGAAGTTGTGGCAGTTTTAGGATTATACATGCAGCTACAAATGTATAACAATAATTGACAAATTTACAGTTCCACTTCAAAATGTGACACTCATTGAATAAAGTGGCCATCGGTTAGGAATTCAGAATAGTGCTACAGCTCCATCTAGTGCCAGCTGTGCCTCAATCTAAAGTTTCATATAATACACATACAAATGAAACAAATCAATATTGCTGAATCGATTTTTCACCCATCTCTTACAGGACAACCCCATAAATGGATGCAATTAATCAGTTGGCACAGCACAGGATAATCACGGAGTACAAAGCAACCACAAGTATGACATGAAACATACAAGTGCTGGGTCAAATGCTATTTCAAGCATACCATCAGTTATCAGTTCTCTCAGAGTACCAGATGGTACCAAGATAGACTTTTTACAACTTTCCTCTGGAGCTGCCAATGTAACGACAGCAGAAATCAGCAGGGAAAAAGTAAGAGTTGTGCTGATCCTTCAGGGACTCCCCCATTGAGATTGGCAGAAAATACGCCGAGTTCTATTTCATTCTTCCAAACTGACTTAATGAAATAGGACCAGTTAGCCCCATGCTTTCTCGTTCGATAGAGCCAGAATCACTTTATTAAAGGCAAATCCTGTCTGAATTACTTGAATGAGTCCTTTTATGAGGTAATAAAGAACATTGATCAAAGGAGTACAGTGAATTTGTAATTAAGGACTTTCAGAATGCATCTAACAACACACTCCATGACACTTCTTAAGAGAATGGAAACCCATGGAAATTGAGAGAAAGTGGAAGTATGGATAGAAAGTTGGCTCAGACATGAAGTAAAAGTGGTCTAGAACTTAGATATTGCTGAGAAGAGAGATTTGCTGCTGAAGCTTTTGGTCTTTTTCAGAAACACTCGAAGTAAAGAGTGGTGGTAAATTGATGTTTTCAGAATAGGTGGTGGTTTAGAACACAGAACATAGAACTGTAACAGCACAGTACAGGTCCTTTGGCCCACGATGTTGTGCCGAACTTTTACCCTAAACCTAAGGTCTATCTAACCTTCAGCCCTACCTTATACTATCATCCATATGCCTATCTATTGGCGCTTAAATGCCCCTAATGAAGCCGACTCCACTACCCTCTCCAGCAATGCATTCCACACCCCTACCACTCTCTGAGTAAAGAACCTACCTCTGACATCGCCCCTCTATCTACCTCCACTCACTTTAGAACTATGCCCCCTCGTAATAGCTACCTCCACCCTAGGAAAAAGTCTCTGGCTATCCACTATCTATACCTCTGATCAATTTGTACACCTCTATCAAGTCACCTCTCATCATTCGTCGTTCTAAAGAGAAAAGCCCTGGCTCTCTCAACCTTTCCTCTTAAGGCCTTCCCTCCATTCCAGGCAACATCCCAGTAAATCTCCTCTGCACCTTTTCCAATGTTTCCACATCTTTCCTGTAATGAGGCGACCAGAACTGGATACAATACTCCAGATGTGGCCGAACCAGGATTTGCACTGGGGTTGCTTAAAGATCCATTTTGCAGGCATTACTCTTTGCAAATTGGATTAAAGATTAGACTGGATAACAGCACATTTATAAAGTTTGCAGATGAGACTGTACTTGGAAGAGTAGATGATCACAATGAGAATAATCATGGGCTTCAGGATGACAAGACAAATGGGAAATAAACATGGAAGTTCAACCTATTAGCCCTGGATTTTTGAATGCTGTTTCTTTGCTTCTCCAGGGACGTTACTTGGCAACGGAGTAGAGGAAAAGGGGATGGGGAAAGCTCTGTATGTGCTCCAGCCAAAAGTACGAGGGCATTTGTGCTGAACCAGCTAGTTCTTTTCCTGCCTGTCAACATCCAAGTATTCGAATGTGAATTTAAAGCTTAGTACAAAATAATTGATTTTATTATACATAACCAACAAGACAAATTGCTGGAATCAACTGCAGTCAGTCTATCAATAGCTATGAGTAATTCAGTTTTTTTTATACTGGCGTTCCCGCTGCTTCTTTCTTCAAATCCAGGTTTTTAAAGTAGTCCTTTGGAAAGTGGCGATTTCTTTCTAGATCAACCATAGGCTCTTCTCCTATAGATTTGCCAGCTTTCTCTCTCTGTGCCAGTATCATGGCACGAAGCAAAGGAGGGTAAGGGACGTAGCGAATATTTGTCTCAGGAACAGGCGTGAAGCTCTTGAAAGCTGCTTCTTCGTGTTTTGGAACCAGACGCCAATCATGGTACATGACTTTATCAATTTCTTTTATTGTATCATCAGTTTTACCTATTTGCAAGAGAACAAAAAAGAATTTCTGAAAATATAGATCTTAGAGGTTCAGTAAACCAAAGACAAGCCGAAACAAATATCTTTTTGAGGAATGTGCAGTATTACTAACAGTACAATAGCATAACCTCAGTCTTCCCAGTGGTTTTTTGAAAAACTTGGTCTTTCCATTCAGCCATTTCCACTCAAGCTCACCATGTCATCAGGATTAAAACTGCTTAAAACTGAATGGCAGGATGCATGTTACCGAGACTGGAGGGTTCGAGTGGGGAGAGGCTGGATAGGCTGGTACTTTTTCCCCTGAAGTGCAGAAGGCTGTGGGGTGACCTCGTAGAGGTTTATAAAATCAAGAGGGGCATAGATAAAGTTAGTAGCCAAGGTCTTTTTCCCAGGGTAGGAGAGTCCAAAACTAGACGGCATAAGTTTAAGACGAGAGGGAAAAGATTTAAAAGTGAGGGGCAACTTTTTCACACTTGGGGTAATGCGTATACATGGTTGAGGCAGGTACAATGACAACATATAAAAGACATTTGGGCAGGTACTTGGATAGGAAAGGTTTAGAGGGATAAGGGCCAAATGCAGGAAAATGAGACTAGTTCAGTTTAGGAAAGCTAGTCGGCATGGATGAGTTGGGCTCAAGGGTTTGTTTCCATGCTCTATAGCTAATATGCCCAAATGACTTCCATTTCAGAGATTGTTTAACATGCTCACAAGGCCTCCTTCCCTTTCTCCATATAGCCTCCCTTTCTTTTAAGATGTGTTCTCTCCAGATTTGCCTTCCTTCCCTATCCCCTTCATATAACATTAACAAGGCAAATCCAAGTCCAGCACTGTTCTACCATTGTTTTCTGATCAACTAGCCATGAAAGGTAAAGGTTTACCTTTGAATGTTAGCACTCCCCATGCTTTTCCATGGTCCATATCCTGAAAAACAAACAGCTTGTTTAGTTCCAGCAACTTTTATTCTTTATTGTCACAAAGTTTGGATGTTTACTCAAGATAGCGCAAGGGACAACTAAAATTGGAAAAACTGGAAATTATGCTGATGACAAACTAGAAGCTAAGATTTGGCAGAATGCAAAGTGTGATATAATTATGTGCTTTTTAGCATACTTTCCAAGCTCACTTTCTATCCCACACAAGAATAAGGAGAGAGAGTTAGTCATTCAAGTGCTCACGGCTGTCCTAACTGCAGCCTCAATTCCTGTCTAACGTTTTTCATGTTTGCCCATACTATCACCATTTTTATCCATTCACAGGACATTGCTGGCTGGGCCAACATTTATTGCCCATCCCTAGCTGTCCTTAAGATGGTAATGAGCTGCTTTCTTGAGCCACTGCAGTACATTTGTTGTAGGTAGACCCACAATGCTGTTAGGGAAGGAATTTCAGGATGTTGACCCAGTGACACTGAAGGAACGCTGATATATTTCCAAATTGGGATGGTAAGTGGATTGGAGGGGAAACTGAAGTGGTGGTATCCCCATTTATCTGCCGTCCTTGTCCTTCTAGATAGTAATGGTCCTGGTTTGGAAGGTGCCTGTTTCGGGAGCCTTGACAAATTTCTACAGGGATTAGTGTAGATGGGACACAATTAATATATTCAAGGGTGAATAGCAGCAATGAGCCAGTCTCCATTACTCTTTCTGGCAAAGAGTGCCAAAGATCAAAGACCCTCCAAATGAGGAAATATTCCCTGATTCCAATAAAACATTAAGTAGAACATAGAACAGTACAGCATAGAACAGTACAGCACAGTACAGGCCCTTTGGCCCACGATGTTGCGTCGAACTTTTACCCTAAACCTAAGGTCTATCTAACCTCCACCCCTACCTTATACTATCATCCAAATGCCTATCTAATAGCCACTTAAATGCCCCTAATGAGGCCGACTCCACTACCCTCTCCGGCAATGCATTCCACGCCCCTACCACTCTCTGAGTAAAGAACCTATCTCTGACGTCTCCCCTGTATCTACCTCCACTCACTTTAAAACTATGCCCCTCATAATAGCTACCTCCACCCTAGGAAAAAATCTCTGACTGTCCACTCTATCTATACCCTCTGATCATTTTGTACACCTCTATCAAGTTGACTCAAGAGGATCTGGCTGGTCTGTTTCTGTACCAGATATCCTGTATTGTGTAACTTGTATAATTCTTTATAGTTTTAGGCAAATCTGGAGGAGGATTATGAATGGTCTTAACCAGCACAATGTCTGACCTCCAAGGTTTCATACCTGACATATTAAATTAATAGAATTAAAATTTGTAACTCAGTTTTTAGCAGAACCTTACCGTATGGGAAACGCACATGCCTCAAAAGACAGACCCAAATAATGCTCAACTAAAACTCACTGACCTTAAATTTCCATAATGACTCAATTTCTCACTCCTGATCTGCTGAGTAAGAACATCTACAGTATTTTTCTTTCAGTGCACAATAATGTTCTTTGGTCAGTCTTTCCAAATAGGATTATTTCAAATACAGCATTGGGATTAGAATGCTCCCCCAAAGCATTTTTAATGCCAAGGGTTCGGTTTGTGCATATATGCTGTTTTACATTCACTTCAGAGTAGCAAACACTTCAGGGACCACTTCCCTTCATAGAATCCACAATAACGTGGATTTTTGGCAGATGTAAGACTGGTGCGTAAATTCAGACTCTGCAGAGTATTACTGCAGAAAATACACAGTGAACATCCCAGTATAACACATCTTTAAACCATAGCTTCTCAATCTATGATGCATGAAGGCATCAGATTTTTCTCCACTGAGAATGGGTACAATGAGCTTAATGTTTTGGCAATTCTGTATTCAGTAAATATTTTTGTATCTGTAAAAATAACCTTTTAAAGTGAAGCTGTGTTCCTTTCATAAACTAAATGATTCAATATATGCAGGAGTCCTTGGCGCAGGAATATTTTAAAACCCATCCTAGAAAAAAGGATCCATACAAGTAGATGAAATGCTGGAACAGACTGTTTGTCCCTAAGGCAGAATCACCAAACATGCAGGATCGGTAAACCTAGAGCCCAGATCAACCACACTCCCTCTGCAAACTAATGAAATAAAGCAACAATCTGAAACACCTCATAAGAAACCATCATCATGACAGCACTTTCCGAAGTTTAAACTCTCTTCTTGCCAATTCAACACTCGGACTTGCCCAAATCATGTTTTTTGTTTCTCCCAAATATAATATCAGCACCATTACAATGCATAGTACAGTAGATCAAACTTATTAACTGCTTTCTAAGGGATCAAGAGCATGCCAATTGATTGAACATTCTGGTCAATAAAGAGATCCACATAGTCAATGTAAAACCACACATTAAAATGTAATGTAGGGAGATATATGCACTGTTACACTTTATTTTACAGCATAAATCACAAATCAGAATTCCTACAGTGTGGAAACAGGCCCTTTGGCCCAACAAGTCCACACCGAACCTCAGAGCATCCCACCCAGACCCATCACCCTACACCTCCCTGAACACTACAGGCAATGGCCAATCCACCTAACGTGCACATCTTTGGACTGTGGGAGGAAACCGGAGCACCCGGAGGTAACCCACGCAGACACGGAGGGAATACGCAAACTCCACACAGACAGTCACCCGAGGCTGGAATCGAACCCGGGTGCCTGGCGCTGTGAGGCAGCAGTGCTAACCACTGTCCCACCATGCTGCCCTGCAAATAATAACGTAACTTCGCCTTAAATAAAACTTAGAGAGCCTGCTCACTGGCACCCTCGACTGAATATTCAGATATTGCAGAGATTGCAATAATGCAATAAACAACTGTTATTTCAGGTATATTACTTTTGCTGGTTTATGGAGAATGCTGATTAAAACAAAGTTTGCTATACATCACTGAAATGTACACTTTAGAAGGGCATCTTGACCAAGCTCATCCTTGTCAAAGAGTTGTTCTAAACCAGCTTTAGTTTTAGTGATAAAGACGTAGAAACATAGAAGATGGAAGAGGAGTAGGCCATTCACCCCTTGAGCCTGCTCCGCCATTCATTATGATCATAGCTGATCATTGAGCTCAATACATTAATTACCCTCCTCCTCTATATCCTTTGATCCCTTTAGCATAAGAGCTACATCTGCCTCCTTCATAAAAAGAAATGCTTCTGAAGAAGGGTCTAGACCCAAAACGTCAGCTTTCCTGCTCCTCTGATGCTGCTTGGCCTGCTGTGTTCATCCAGCTCTACATCTTGTTATCTCTCTCTCTCCTAATACAGATTTGTTTCATAGAATAAAGTGTACAAGCAGGTCATTCAGCCCATCAGGTCCACACTGATCTTCTAAAGAGCATCCCACCCACAGCCACCCTCCTACCCTACCCCTGTAACTCTGCACTTCCCATGGCCAATCCAACTAACCTGTACATCCTTGGACTGTGGGAGGAAACCCACAGATGGGGAGAATGTGCACTTTCTACTCAGTTGCCCAAGGGGTGGAATCAAACCTGTGTCCTGGCGCTGAGGCAGCAGTGCTAACCACTGAGGCACCCAATTCCTCCCTCTTAGTAAACCAGGCACCCCATCATTTCTGGTACAGTAGTCAGGTCCTCCTCTGTGAAGACAGATGTATGAATTTAGTTTGTCAACCATTTCTTGGATTCCCATTATAAATACCCGTTTCTGATTGTAAGGGATCACCAACATTTTGCTCTTTTATGCCTAGAGAAACTTTTACAGCTTGTTCTTGTATTCCCTGCAAGCTGGCATTAAATGATTTTCCCCGTCTCAATCAATCCCTTGGTTCTCCTGTGTCGTCTTCTAACCTGTTCCCAATCCTCAGGTCTACTTTTTTTTGCCAATTTGTAGCTTTTTTTGCAGTTAGTACTCTAACATCCCCGAGTCATGGGTTGGCCGCTGTTAATGTCAATTTTCCACACCACATTGCTTGACATCACATTTGCATGAATGTTCTTCATAAATAAGGTTAGTGGGTATGGCAATTATGCAACATTAATGGTGGGATAAGCTGAGACAAGTTTATTCTTTCATCTTAGGGAAGGTGCGCAATTATTTTGTACCTACAGGAACATTGAATACAAATCATCTGTTTTTAAAATATATAGGGGTATATAGATCATGTTTACACTGCAGCAAAACTAATCAATATTTTATAGGCGGTATGTACATGCCATTTAACATGTTCTGGAACAGCCTGAGTTGGTGTACAGTAAACTAGGTATTTCATCCTGAAGAAGGGTCCAGACCCGAAATGTCAGCTTTCCTGCTCCTCTGATGCTGGTTGGCCTGTTGTGACCATTCAGCTCTACACCTTGTTGTCTCTATTTCTTCCTTAATGTTGCTTTTACGTAGGAAGTTAAAGCTTTATGTCCACGAAGGTACAATTAATCAAGCCACAATGAACTTTAGGATTGGTCATGATCCGTAACCATGTTTTGGTCACCTGGCCTAACTGTTTGATGGTGCTTCAAGGTGTCTTGTGATAATCTATTGTATCAATAGCGCTAAACAAATTCCAGCTGCTGTAATTCTCAGTTCTGCACATTCCAATGCTCTTAGCAATCCCCTCCACATTTGCACAATTGTTTTAGAATGTTTACAACTGGAATACAACTACTACAAATTAATTGTGAAATAGCCACAGAATTCTTGCCAATCCCATGGGCAACGATTGTGACACTTTAATTGAAGGGGAAAGCAAACATCCCAAAATAGAAACACCCAGACATATTAAAAGCACGTGCTGAAATTTAGGACTGTCACCAGGATTTCTAAACTGAAACTTGTCAACAGAAATTCCCACCTACTCATGTGGGTGAAGTAGTGACGCCAATGTGCATTTATATAGCACCTTTAATACACGAAAACATTCTGGTGTTTCACAGCGGAATCAACCAAAATAATGACACCAAGCCAAAGGAAGTGATTTACAACGGGCAGCCAGAAGCTTGATCAAAGAGGTAGGATTTGTGGAGGGGTTAATGGAGATGTAAAGAGGTAGAGGCATTTAAGAAGGGAGATCTAAAACTTCAGCCTCTGATGCATGGAGCCACAGCTGCCAGTACTTCAAAGGAGTGAGTGAAACAACAAACAGGGTAGGAACGCATTTCTCCTGGAAGTTTATATGGTTATGAAAATTTACAGGGATAGGGAGGGACATGGCCACGGCCACATTGGAACTGAGACTGAGAAATGTATTTATGGACTGGAAGACAATGTTACTGAGCAGGTGGACATGAGTTGGTGTGTGATAGGATAGAAATAGAAGCTTTGGATAAGCTCAAGTTACATCAACTAAAAGAAAGAGGTAAGCTAGGAAAGTTAACAAAGGCAAGGATGATGATTTAAGCAATGGATCTGATAGAAGTAGGCAATGTTACGGATGTAGACACACTCTGATTGGAAGAATATGAAATCAGAAGCTCAGCTCCAAGACAAATAGGACACCAATATTCTGAACAGCCCACCACAGGGTCATTGCTTCCATAATATCACTAAAAGAGAATGTATATGCAAAACAGGTGGGGCCCCCAAGTATATATCCGAGGGACAATTGAGTTGGAAAGATAAGCCATCCCACACAAGCATTTCTGAATATGACTGGATAGGCAAGAGTGAAACCAGGTAAAAGATGTTCACTCAGCTGGACAATGGAGAAGGATAGCGGTCAATATTGTCAAAGGTTGCAGAAACTAAGGAGGATAAGATGTCATAGTCACTAGGTGTCATTTGGACTCTGAATAGGCACTTTTATATACTATAGCAGGATAGAAACCACACTGAAAATGTCCAGACGTGGATGTGTAGGAGAGACAAGCAGATTTGAAGACTTTAGAAAAAAAAAAGGAAATTTGAAACGACATGGTCAGAAGGATCACAGGGAAATGGATTGAATAAGGGGGAAATGATAGTAGATTTAAGGCAAGGAGAGGCTTGCATTGAGAATATGACACTAGCAAGGGAAGTTAGGCAGTCAGCAATTTTAATGAGAAGTTGGTCAAACAGAAGCTGGGTTTCATGGAATGAGTTAGAAGGAAGCATGCAAAGAGTTAGAGAAAGATACCACTTCAGAACAAGGAAAAGGGAAAGAAGCTGCAGAGGCATCCGAGCAGATGGGCTCAACATTAGCGATGGAGAGAAATTGTTAGTGATGGTGGGGTGGGTTTAAAAATGGTTGGTAGCAGACAAAAGTTGACATTAAAATAACAGAAAATACTGGAAACAATCAGCAGGTCTGGCAGTGAAAGAAACAGACATCTCAAGTTGCTCAGAAAAGTTTAGAAATGCTTTCGTATTTATAAAATGAGAGTCCTATAGCATGGAAATATACCCTTCAGTCTAACTCATCCGCACTAACCAGACATCCCAATCAGTTGAGAAGTCAGCAAAGGAGTCAGACAGCGTCACAGCATGGAAACATACCCTTCGGTCCAAATCGTCCATGCCAACCAGATATCACAAATCAATCCAGTCCCATTTGCCAGCATTTGGCCCATTACCCTCAACTCTTCCTGTTCATATACCCATCCAGATGTCTTTTAAATGTTGTAATTGTACTCACACCAACCACTACCTCTGGCAGTTTGTTCCACACACACATCGCTGTGTGAAAGAGCTACCCCTCAGGTCTATTTTAAGTCTTTCCTCTCTCACCCTAAAACTATGTCCTCTAAAACACCCCACCCTAGGAAAAAGACCTTGGCTATTCACCCTATCCACGTGTCTCTCATGATTTTAGAGTGGTGAACCTTTGTCATTCTAAACCCTCAAAGGGCTGTAGAAGCTTAATCACTGAGCAGGTTTTAGACACAGATCAATAAAATCCTAGAAATTAGACATGTCCAGAGATCTGGGCATAGTGTGGGAATGTGACATTGGAGCAAGATGATCAGCAATGATTTCACTGAACTGTGGAAGGGCTGAATAGCTGACTTCTGTTACGTTATTAAAGGAACTAGGAGTTCTCATAATGAGTGGCCAGTTTGGGCAGAGGAGAGAAGGGACCTCACGTTGAGGCCAGCCAAAATGTGGATACTGATGAATATACGAAATACTGCTCTACCATTCAAAAGATCACTTGTCTGATTCCACATTCCCATCCACTCCTAATAATGCACCATTCCCTGTCAAACAAAAATCTATTCATCTCCACAGAGAAGAACAATGACCATTTTGGGTTTAAGCCCAAGGAATAAAGCAGGTTTAGTTAAAAACAAAGAAGCACAACAGATCTGGTGACCTTTTACAGTGACAGAAACAGAGTTAACATTCTGGGTGCACATTTGCAAAGAACAGTAATATCAGACTTGAAACATTAAGCTTGTATTTCTACCTCTTTGTAGATTGCGCCAGACCTGCTGAATTTCTTCAGCACTTTGCTTGTATTTCAGATTTTCAGCACTTCCAGTATTTTGCACATATTTCAGTCAAATAAATTCCATCTTCTACTAAGGTTTGAGGTCATGGCCTACTTGTAATTAGGCTTCAGTGATAGTCCTGTGGTGGGGAGGTAAGACTGTCTTATCTCCCAATGCCCATGCCAGGGGAGCTCACCTCCCCACACCAGAAATTGCAACCCTAACCTGGGCCTCAAATTCCCCACCCTAGGGGAGCTCTCCGAGCGAGGTGTCACCTCCCCCACAGCAGAGGTGGGGGTGGGGACGACAGCCCTGACCTGGGTGTCACCTCCCCACCCCACTGGAGGGGGGGGGTTACAGAAGAAAAAAGGGATGGCAACACTAATCCAGGTGTCACCTCTCCCACCCCAGTGGAGGGCAGGTAGTCCTGACGCAGGCACCACCTCCCCAACTCCCTGAGTGATACAGCCCTGACCCAGGTGTCACCTTCCCCCACCCCCAGGTGGGTAGGGGGCAAACTCTGACCTCAGTGTCACCTCCCCCACCCCCAGCCGGTTATATTTCGACCCGAGTGTCACTTATCACATCCACAGGAGGGTATGCTCTGTCCTCAGTGTCACCTTCCCCATGGGGGGGGGCACACTCTGACTCTCCCGCACCCCAGGGGACACACACTCTGACACTGACCCTGACCCTCTCCCCCTCGCCCAATCCCCAGGGGGGTGATTATATTCTGACCTGGGCCGTGTAATCCACCTTGACCTTGCTGACGGTCCAGTAGCAGGGCTGGTCGTAGGCCAGGAGCCAGGACTTCCTGGTGACGAGGCGGCCGATGCCGAAGAGGGGCAGGCGGTTGAGGAACTGGAAGAGGCGGCTCTCGTTGCGGATATCGCGGTGGGCCAGGAGCGGCAGCTTCTTCCCGCTGTACGGCCGTGTCATGGTCTGGTAGTCCAGCGCGAAGCGCTCGCTGTCCCGGGGCCGATTCTTGCGGGCCCAGTACTCCCGCACTTTACGGGCCATCTCGGCGATGGCGCGGACCCTCTTCTTGCGGGCCATGGTTCCCGGGACCCACCGGAAGTGCACGACCACCTCACCAGTTCCCGCACGGCCGACCGGAAGTTTGAGTTCGCCTCAAACCCTTCCCCACTCCGGGCCGCCTCATTGGTTCCGCCCTCACAGCAGCTTTACCTTCAGCCAGAGAGAGACACTTTCCACATCTCTCCAAAACTTCATGGTCACAACTACCCTCTCCACCCCCTTCATGATAACATAAATAATTTTTTAAAAAAGCCTCACACACAGAAACCAAAATGTACTAAAACAAACACCCGAAAATGCTGGAAACGTTCAGGTCAGTCAATATTCTGGAGAGAAAGTTTTCTTTTTGTGAGAGGATCCAGGTGTTTCATGTGGGTCATTCAAAAAAGATTTTTTAAGCTCTATGCCTTCAATAGTTTAAGTCAAACAGGAAGGGTCTTGGTGAGAAGTTAGTGTTAGGCATTTACTCACAATGACTTGAATTTTCTTTGGGGGGGGGTTAGGTGTTGATTCGATGGGCCGGATGGCCTCCTTCTGTATTTGAGATAACAAGATGTAGAGCTGGATGAACACAGCAGGCCAAGCAGCATCAGAGGAGCAGGAAGGCTGACGTTTCGGGCCTAGACCCTTCTGTATTTGTTGGGATTCTATGACTCTATTCTAATTAGGTAACCTTGACAGGAAGATTTAATACTCGTTTTCTTTGATTGGCAGAAACTGGCCTCAAAATTGCTCTCCCCCCCCCCCCCCCCAAACTTAGCCTGAGGCCCACCCCTTGTTGAATTTGGTCAGATGGTGGCCTACCCAGTCCTGCCCCTGGAGGTCTACTTTGGCATATTGCCATCTGAATGAGTAGAACCATGGAATTAGTGTGGGGGTGATTTCATTTGGATTGGGGGAAGTACCAGGAGAATGAAGAGGAAGGAGGGTGGAAGAAAGGCAGGACCTGGGAGAAGGGGTGAGGGTTTGGGGTAACTGAGGGACCATGGGGCTAACTTGGAAGAACGACTGGTAGAGGAAAGAAGTAGCAATCAGAAGATTTGGAGGGGAGGGGTGGTATGAGGGATGGGTCAGAAATAATTGGGGAGGGAAAAGGGTGTGGGAGGAGCAATGGGGGGCAGGAAGACAGGTGACAACATGCAGAAGGAGGTTTCTTCTTTTCAAGGAACTTAAGTTAGGGAATGCAGATGGCAGATACCTGTTGATTATAATTTGTAGACATACTGCGTTTAATCCAATGAAACAAGTACTGAATACTGTATTTGTGATTAAAATCTGCATTTGAATATTTTGACATAACAAAATAACCACACTACTTCTACTTTTTAATTCAACAATAGATTGGTCAATTAAGTGAAAACAAGTGTCCAATTTGAAAGGGGCATGTCTGATAAGTTATCTAGTCTGTAAAAGAAGCCAAAGCTCTTAAGGGAAAGTTAGTCACTCAATGTAAGGTAATATTTCTGGAGTGATGATGCATTCTCATCCCCCAGTATCCACCAGACCCAAAAGCATACAGATGGTTGCAACAGTTTCTCTCTGAAGGGACACCAATGCATAGATGCAGATGCAGAAGGAAGTAGACAAGCAGGCTGATTGAGTACTCCGTACCTGTTGTTGGCCATCTTAGTCAGGTCTAGGAGGAAATCTCTCAACCTGCCACATCAGATGAACCAGCAGTATGGAACTGAAGTGTAACTAGAAATTGAGGACCAGAGCCCTCAGGTAATGGAAGAGGATTGGCAGCTCTCTTTCTAGTATGTATCTGGACGACCAATTGAAGGAGGGAAGTGAAGTTTGTGCAAGAGCAGCTTGTACAGGAAACACTGCCACGTGGAGTGGAATGGCATGGGATAGGAATTTCCAAGAGATGGCTCTAATTATGGAACCGAGGCTTCAGAGTCAGTGAGAATTTCATTAAGCGTGAAGGTCAGAGTGTAGCACTGCCGATGCCTCATATCATCTCTATCAGGCATGCCACAGAGCAAAAGACTTTCTGCAGGATGTCAAGAATTCTTAGGGGATCATATATAAAGCTGTTTGTTCATTTATCAAGTCTCCCAATCCACTGACTATCTTCTGGACAAAACTTTAGAAAATCAGTTCACACCACCTCTCTTCTATTATCAAAACACATTTTCTTTCACTGTAGATGTTCATTCTCATTAGCAGGCTTCAAAATTGCAATGTGAAAATTATCTAGAGTCACAGTGACCTGAAGAACGTGGACTATCGGTGTTCTCTGCAGTACAAGATCTGCATCTTGTTGTCTGTCCCGTTGTAGCACACTTTAATGGTTACAACATTTTGAAGTTTATAAGATTAGTCAGACGAATAGAAATACAGAAAATAGGAGCGGGGTAGGCCATTCACCCCTTCAACCTGTTCTGCTATTCAATAAGATCATCCAACTCAGTACCCTGTTCCTGCTTTCTCCCCATACCCTTTGATCCCTTGAGCCCTATAAACTGTGTCTAACTTCTTCTTGAAAATATTCTACGTTTTGGCCTCAGATAATTTTGGTGATTAGAATTCCACAGGCTCACCACTCTCTGAGTAGAAAAATTTCTCCTCATCTCATAGCCTGTGGTCTAAAGGGCTTACCTGGTATCCTTAGAAGGTGGCCCCTGGTTCTGGACTCCCCAGTCATTGGGAACATTCTTCCTGCGTTTACACTGTCTAATTCTGTTAGAATTTTCAGCTTTCTGTGAGAACCTCCCCCCGCCACAGCATTCTTATAATGACTATAGTCCTAACTGATCCAATCTCTCTTCATATGTCAGTCCTGTCATCCCAGGAATCAGTCAAGTAAACCTTTGTGGTAGACCCTCTATCGCCAGAATATATGTCCACAGATAGAGGTCAAAACTACACAACTGCTCCTGTACCCTAATCCTCTCGCTATTAAGGCCAGTACACCATTTGCTTTCTTCATCGCCTGCTGCATCCACATGCTTACCTTCAGTGATTGGTGTACAAGGACACCCAGGTCCCATTGCGTTTCCCCGTTTCTTCATATGTCCCCACTCAGATAATAATCTGCCTTCCTGTTTTTACTATCAAAGTGAATAACCTCCTGTTTATCCACATTACACTTTGTCTGCCATGCATTTGCCCACTCACTTAACTTGTCCATTTCACATTTTGCACCCTCCCACCCAGCTTTATGTTGCATGCAAACTAGCAGAGATTACCTTTAGTTCCCTCACCTAAATTATTGATATGTATTCTGAATTAGCTGGGGCCCTGATCCTTGCGATACTCCGCTAATCACTTGCTGCCACTTAGAAGAAGACCTGTTCATTTATGCTAACCAGTTCTCTCTCCATGTCAGTACACTACCCCCAATCCCATGTGCTTCAGTTTTACACGCCAATCTCTTATGTGGGACATTATCAAAAGTCTTCTGACAGTCTGAGTAAACCACAACGACTGGCTCCCCTTTATCGTCTCTATTAGTTACATCCTCAAAAACGTCCAATAGTATTAGTCAAGCATAATTTCCTTTCACTCATTCATAGTTTTTTTTTCTGGGGTGACCCATTCCCATAGAGGCTGAGGCATTGTGGGATTCATTTCCCATACGCACTCAGAAGGAAAGAAGGATATTTGATTGAGGAGCCTCATTTATACTCTGCATTTGGCCCCTATTAATGTGTAGCAGCTGATAGTTATAACTTCAAATTCACAGCTTTACAGGTCAGAGAAATGTTTTCTTTCTTGTGGATGTATGTGGAGTACAGACGTTGGAATGTGTACAATATCCCACCTACGAACCAGATAGGAAAAGACTGGTGCTTTCTGTACTACAGTACAGACTGTACCACCATTAGTCATAATGGAGGGAATGCACAGTCTCCTGAACATAAACTTTCAAACAGTGGTAACACGATCGCCACTAAACTAGCTTTAAATTTGATTTTTAAAAAATCACATATTACACCATCTACTATGGTATGTTCCCAGAATATTTTCCTGTATTTCTGGACTAATTACATTATCCTTGTGTCATCTTCTCCCCGACTGACTGCACTGAGGAGAAGTCCTGGAACAGGAGAAAAAAGGACACGTGTAGATATCTAGCCGATACAGGACCATAGGAAATAAGAGCAGAAGTAGGCTATTCAACTTGAGCTATTCAACTGGATCGTGGCTAATCTTCCCCAGCGCCATTTTCCTGCACTATCCCCATCTCCCTTTGATATCTTTCACATTTAGAAATCTATCAATCTTTTCAGGATAGAGAATTCCAAAGATCCACCACCAGATTATATTAGCTTTGGCAAAGTTTGCAAATTGTTCTATTGAAAGGAGAATGTTCCATGGATGCCATGTTTTATTGTTCAGAGGTTTGTATCGAAAGGAAATGTTGTACTTTATTGGTGAATTGCACTTTTGAATGCACAGCACCTCACCAGATTCTTCTTATGAATTGCGTAGTGAAAGAACATAGGAACAGGAGTCGGCCATTCAGCGCATAGAACCTGTCCTGTCATTCAGTACAATCATGGCTGATTGAACACTTCAGGGTCTTTTACTCACCCCTTCCCCATAATCTTGTATGCCATTGGTAATCAGAAATCTATCAATCTCTACTTTAAACATACTCAAAGACTGACCATGCACAGCCCTCTGTGGTAGACAATTCCAAAGATTCAGAAACCTCTCCTCATCTCAGACAGTAATGGCATCCCCATTATCTTTAAATTGTGCCCCTTGTTGTTTCCAATCAGGGAAAGCATCTTACCTGCATCTACCCTGTATATCATTTTTGGTATATTGTAGGTTTCACAGAATTATAGAGTCATACATCATGGAAACAGACCCTTCAGTCCAATCAGTCTATTTTGAACATAATCCTGAACTAAACTAGTCCCACCTGCCTGCACCTGGCTCATATCCCCCCCAGTCTTTCCTGTTCATGTACTTATCTAAGTGTCTTTTAAAATTTATAACTGTGCCTGCATCCACTACTTCTTCAGGAAATTCATTCCTCACGCAAACCACCTTCTTTGTAAAATAATTTGCTCCACATGTCTTTTTTAAATCTCTCTCCTCTCACCTTAAAAATATGCCCCCTTGTCTTGAAATCCCCCCATCTCAGGGAAAAGACACCTACCATTAAACCTATCCA